CCTTGAGGATGATTTCACATGAGTTTCATTTTTCCTGGCCCAGTGGTTCTTGAGAAGAAGATTTTTATCCCCCGCTTGAAAAGTGGGGGATATTAATTTGGGTCTATCCGTCCGTCTTTCTGTCTGTCTGCAACGCTTTCGTTTCCACACGATAACTCGAAAATCCTTTGAGCTTTTGCAATGAAATTTTGCACAGCAACTCCCTATGGACTAAAGAAGACCCCTATTGATTTTGAGGTCAAAAGGTTAAAGGTCAAGGTCATAAATTCGCAAATTCTGTCTGTTATAACACTTTCGTTTCCGCGCGATATCTCGAGAACCCTTTGAGCTTTTGCAATGAAATTTTACATAACAACTCCCTATGGCTTAAGGAAGACCCCTATTGATTTTGAGGTCAAAAGGTCAAACTTCAAGGTCATAAATGTATACATTCTGTTTGTGTGTAACACTATCGTTTTCGGGCGATATTTCAAGAAGAGGTTGAGCTTTTGCAATGTAATTTTATTCCAAAAGTCCCTAGGACGTCTCTCGCCCCTCTCAAAGTGTCCCGCCCCGTTTGTTTTATTAGTATTGATAGTATTACATGTCGCTATTTTTAGCACAGGGGCATGAAGGAGAGTTGTTACGTATAAAACAGGTTCTCGGCAGAATTTATATTCTCATTACATCTATTATCCATATTGGCATATTTTATTTGCTTTGGTATACATTTAATAATTCTTCCTATATATACCTATTACCTATGTAAAAAATTGATCGGCCATTGTGGCCCCACCCTACCCCCGGGGGTCATGATTTGAACAAACTTGAATCTACTGATACCAAGGTCAATGACCTTGACTGTGACCTATATGCTAAAAATAGTTTTTTCTGCAAACTTTAACCTTCACCATAACATTTGAAACATAAAAGATAGAGACCTCATATTTGGTATGCATACACCACTGAGTAAGCTCTTTTAAATGACACCATGGTCAATGACCTTGTGACCTAGACTGTGACCTATACATTAAATATAGCTTTTTTGTTGGCAAACTTTAACCTTCACCATACCTTTTGAACAAAGAAAGATACAGACTTAATATTTGGCATGCATACCCCACTAATTAAGCAATTTCACGACACAAAGGTCAATGACCTTGTGACCTTGACTGTGTCCTATATGCTAAAAATAGCTTTTTCGAACCTTCACCATAACTTTTGAACCATGAGAGATAGAAACTTCTTTTTGGTACGCATACTTCACTAATCAAGTTCTTTCAAATGACACCAAGATCAATGACCTTGTGACCTTGAATGTGACCTATAAGCTAAAAATATGTCTTTTAACTTTGTTGCCGCCGGGCGCATAGTGCTTTACGATTACATCTTGTTTTCCGATAAATCTGATACCAGGCATATGGTATCATTTTTAAAAGGGGCAGTCAGAAAAACAAGGGAGGGCCTGGGGTTGGAAACTTCCTATAAGAACCAAATTTTATTAAACACTATATTAATCATCTAACACAATTTAACTATGCTACAACAAAAAGTAGGGGGTCAACTTGCCCTTCAATGATCATTATTCATAGTATAAAGTCAAGCTTGAAAAAAAAAGTGCCGGATACTACGTGCTTGGATGATTATTACATTACTGACGATTTTTTTTTATTAAATACAACTAAATTTGGTAAATTTTAAGGGAAGCATTTGATCCCAATTAGTCGAAACTACCTGAGGTGGCTTCCACATGAGTTTCATCTTTCCTGGTCCAGTGGTTCTTGAGAAGATTTTTAAAATTTTTTCTTATATATTCCTATGTAAAACTTTGATCTGCCATTGTGGCCCCATCCTACCCCCGGGGGTCATGATTTGAACAAACTTGAATCTACACTACCTGAGATGGCTTCCACATGAGTTTCAACTTTCCTGGCTCAGTGGTTCTTGAGAAGAAAAATTTTAAAGATTTTCCCTATACACTCCTACGTAAAACTTTGATTGGCCATTGTGGCCCCACCCTACCCCCGGGGGTCATGATTTGAACAAATTTGAATCTACACTACCTGATGATGCTTCCACATGAGTTTCATCTTTCCTGGCCTAGTGGTTTTTTAGAAGAAGATTTTTAAAAGATGCCATAATTTTTTCACTAGTTCATAATTATCTACCCTTAGAAGAGGGCGTGGCCCTTCATTTGAACAAATTTGAATCCCCTTTACCTAAGAATACTTTGTGGCAAGTTTGGTTGAAATTGGCCCAGTGGTTCTTGAGAAGAAGATGAAAATGTTAAAAGTTTACGACGACTACGACGACAGACAACGGACAAATTTTGATCAGAAAAGCTCACTTGAGCCTTAGGCTCAGGTGAGCTAAAAAGATTACCCGTTCAAGGTAGTTGAGGCCGTTTTGGAAATAACCGCTTAATTTTCCTCTCTTGACTGACTGGCGATAAGTTTTAACCTTAATTTTCTAAATTTTATTTTTTTAAATTTTACACTTCAGCACTGATATTGAAATTTTCTGGGGGATTTTTTTTTTTACCAACCAGTTCATGTCAAAAGCACTTGTCAACTTTTAAATGCCAGACAAGAACATATTTCTATCAGTTTTCTCGTGTCTGATAATGTACTTCGACTCTTGATTTTCATCTTTGTGAATGTGTAATCAAACTTCATATGCTGATTCATACTGATATTAGCTATTCAAATTCATTGACAATTTTTGACCATGACATTTCTTTTGACCATTACCTCTCTTCTTAATTTAGCTCCGTTTCAAAGACACATTCGTGATATTTTTATCAAACTTAATATGCCGATATATATTACTGAGAAATATTGAACGGAATCACAAACTTTCGATCTTGAGCTTTCTTGTGATCTTGACCTCATTTTACTCTCATTTGCATTTAGCCTTGTGTTTAAGAGAAACCGTTTCAGTTTTTTTTAATGTAAGCTTATGCACCTACATCATACCAAGTAATACTAGGATAGTCTTAAATAAAGTGTCCCACCACAGCATAATATTTCCATAACAGCTGCTTGATCAGGATTGCTCTACCAGTTAGCTCCTGACAATAAACTCATTAATTTCTCTCTAATTTGACATGCAAATTTCTGCTATCAAAATTCTTCTTGACCAGTGCTTGATAATTATCCCCATGAGAGAAATTGAATTTCTCTCAATTCATTCACTTTTTTTTACAGATTGCTGTAAAGTATATGATGGGGAAAAAAAAGTTTTTACTTGATTTAACATTTTTTAATAAGGATACAACTAAATTTTTTTTTTACATTTTTTAGGAATATGAAATTTAAAAGACTTAGTTTTTTAAAAAAATCTAACTTAAAGGTCAGTGACCTTGAAATAGGTCGTGACACACGTTCTACCTAAGATGTATATATTTGCCAAGTTTGATAGTTCTAGGTCTAATAGTTATGAGCCAGACAGGATTTTTCCATGTTTGGCCATAGCATCTTAATTAAAGGTCAGAGCAACCTACTTTTTGTGCACGACATACAGCCTACCCAAGAAGTATCAGTTGACAAAGTTTGATAATCCTAGGCCTGATAGTATTGAAGTTATGAACCGGACAGGAATGGACAGACAGACGGACATGAAGCCTATAACATAATATGTCCTGTCTTAAGACGGGCATATAAAAATAGGAACAAAATTTCAAACTTGTTGAATTGATTTTTATTTTCTTATATAAAAGGTAAAAAAAGAGTAAAAGTCCTTTGAACACTGTGGTGGTACCGAAAACCTCCTGGCAACCTGCAAAATTGGAAACCATGATTAAAATAGTCTTTTGCAAAAATTGTATCAAATAAGAGAAGAATGTCACAACCCTTTTCTCTTTTTTATTTTAATATGCAGCTCATTAATATCTGTAATAGAAACTTTAAAGGAAGAAAGAAGGATTTTTAAGAAAGAAAATCGACTTTTTTGACATTAAGAATGCAACTTGTTGTGACAAAACCTCTCAGCTTTCTGAAGTTATATTGATGGCATACGAGTCAGAAATTCTTCTAAATTTTAAGATTTTTATTACTTTTTAAAGGTAGAGCACTTCTGTTACTATTTTACAATTTAGTTTTATTAGTTCTGTTTATTTTGGACCATTTGGAAGTCCTTAGTTTTATCAGTACTGAGGATTACCTGTAAATGGGCATCTTACCGGTCTCTAGTAAAATGGGGCTGTGAAATTTCGTCTCTTCTTCTTATTCTTTTTGATGGGTATTAGATATCACAATAAAACAAGCATGAGTAAACTTAGTTAGACTTTCCCTATGGAATTTAGATATATTACTTTTGCACTGAAAAGACCTTTAAACATTTCATTCCAAATGATTTTAAACAATTCTTATCGAGTTTTCCCCACAAGGTATCTTGCCAAGATCATAGATATGTACAGTGGAATATTTATGACCATTATTGTGGGATCAGTCCGAGATATTCATTTCCCCTTTTAATATAATTTGCACGTTTGACTTCAAGAACAAAAGATGATTATATTAATTTCTTGCATTAAGTTTTCATTTTGTTAGCATAAAATTTTCCAAACTCCCTTTTCAACTTTGCTTTAACTAAGTTTTCTGTACAATAATAATAAAGTCTGCTCTGTCTTGTCTGTAAAATTAAGTTATTTTTGTTAATACACAGAATACAAACAAACAAATCCAATGCCTCAGATATAGTTATGCATGGGGTTTAGTTTACTAATCCATACACCTGAATTATTTAAAGACATTAAGGTTTTTAAGATTTATCTTTAACATTCAACTTTACAATATACACTTATGACATTGAATTTTAACAATTATGTTAATGCACGCATATTATTTATTCCTATCTTTAGTTTTTTGTTCGTTTTTTTTTCTTTTGGTGCATATACACTGGTTTTGCATACGAATGTTTGCTGAGACATTGGATTTTTTTTTTTTAGAGATAAAAACATTTTTTCAATATCTTTTTTTGGAATTTATTTTATACTACACTGACAAGTAAACTAAGTTCAGTGAACACAATTAAGTTTTTTTTTTATACAGGTACCACAGGTTTACAACACATTTTAATTTGCCTTCTTTGACATCAACGAACTGCGAAGAGAATACAACTTTTGTAGCCATTTAAAACTGAAAACAATCATGGGATTTTAAATTTGATGTTCAAAGTAGGGATTTGAATCTTATGAGTTTCCTTCAGATCATTCAGTAGGGCTACATTAATTTAGTCTATTCTGTAAGGTAACAAAGTACCTATGTAAACATGATGTGTGAAATATGAGCGATAAAAGAGTTAGCATCAGTGGGCAATGGGTGCACTTAATAGCCTCCTCGTGTACTGGCATAGGGGTGGGGACGTCCACGCCCCCCTCGGGGTGCTGGTGGGGCTTTAAAGGAACTGCCTCCTGCGGACCATCCACTCTCTACAAGAAACAAGACCACATTGTGGTTGACATAAATACCCACATGCAATCCAATGATTACGTAGTAGCAGAAATTTTTTGTTGGAGTTAACTTACCTTTGGCATACCCATCATCATATCCTTGTGCACTTGAGCCATGTCCATAGTCAAAGTACTGTGTATCTCTACAATTGTAGAAGTATTCAATCAGTTACCTGTCACATTAACATTTAGTAACAGTAAATCATAGTCAGTAGAATACCTTCATAAGTTTTCAATACCCACCCTGCAGCATAGCTTGTTTCTGCGTATGGGTCTCTAGCATAGGGATCTGCATATGGATCTTCATAAGCCTTAAAAAAATTTGGTAAGTTTTGAATGTATGTATTTTGATTATCATTGGTATCGGGTAATAAAATCACATGCACATTCACGTTTTTGTACCTGAGTGCTGTAGTCATCGTAGGCTTCTGTACGAGGTGGCGGTGGGGGTGCTGGTCTACCCCGTCCTGCGGGGGCTCCTCGAGGGGCTGGGACACCACGTGGGGCACCTCTTGCAGGTGCTCCTCTGTAAAAAAGAACATTTAATCTACGTGCAAAAAATTCTGTAAAACTAAAGGCTTTCATTGCCTCACTCTCATTGAAGGTACATACCGGTATCTCATATGCAAGCATGAACATTTGCTCATATTTCTTTCTCATCAACGTTTGGCAATAAAGAATGACCTCTCTACTTCAATTATTAAAAGCTACTGATTGATTTTCAAATGATTTCTTTAAAACTTAAAATGAATCTTCAATATCCCCTGTGTTTATATCATATTCATCCCCCTCCTTTAAATAAACAACAAAATTT